AGAAGGAAATTGTTCAAGCAAAGACTGGTTAGTCTCCCAGGTGGCATCCTCGACTGGTAGATGCTTCCCCTAGACCAGATTTTCTTCTTCAAATTTATTCCCCCGTTTGACCCAGCGAGTGTCTAGTTTATACTGAGGTTCGAGTATAACAGCCCCTTTATCATTAATTGGTGGCAGCTACTTTGAAGGTTTCGCAAGCTCTCCTACAATTTTTTTTAAGAGCGATACGTGGAAGACAGGATGAATGCGGGCTCCTTCCGGCAGTTGAAGTTTGTAAGCGACAACCCCAATCTTTTGTATCACTGGACATGGTCTGTAGAAGCGACTAACTAGCTTCTAGTGGGCTCATTTGAAGGTTGTCTGTTGTCTAAAGGGGTGCAATTTAAGAAACACCAGATCACCAACTTCGAAGGAAACATCCCAACGTTTTTGATTCACAATTAGCTTCATGCGATTAATGGAAGTTTCCAGATTACTTTTGAGTTGACGCAGCAGCTCATCTTTAGCCTCTAGACTTTGGTCTACTTCATGCACTGAAGAAATCCCATTATGGTAAATGGGAACTTGAGGAGGTAAACGTCCATGTAGTGCCTGAAAAGGGGTCATTCCCGTGGACGCATGATACGTTGTATTGTGCCAGAGCTTAGCCCATGGAAGGTAGTTGCTTCACTTGCGCGGCCACTAATGAACCACACTTTGGAGGTATTGCTCAACACAGCGATTGACAACTTATGTTTTTCTGTCCATCTGTGGTTGGTAGGCAGAACTAAGTTGTAGCATGGTTCCCGACATTTGAAAGAACTCCTGCCAGAATTTGTTGATAAGAATGGGGTCTCGATCGCCGATGATGGACTTGGGTAGTCCATGCAATTTAATAACTCCTTCTATAGACCTTTTAGCCACGATTTTAGCAGTAAAAGGATTAGTTAAGGATAGGAAATGTGCAGACTTACTCAAACGGTCGGCAACTACTAAGATCGTGTCCTTGCCGTGGGATGTCGGTAGTTTNGCTTGTCCCCATGGTCCATAGAAGGAAATTGTTCAAGCAAAGACTGGTTAGTCTCCCAGGTGGCATCCTCGACTGGTAGATGCTTCCCCTAGACCAGATTTTCTTCTTCAAATTTATTCCCCCGTTTGACCCAGCGAGTGTCTAGTTTATACTGAGGTTCGAGTATAACAGCCCCTTTATCATTAATTGGTGGCAGCTACTTTGACGGTTTCGCAAGCTCTCCTACAAATTTTTTTAAGAGCGATACGTGGAAGACAGGATGAATGCGGGCTCCTTCCGGCAGTTGAAGTTTGTAAGCGACAACCCCAATCTTTTGTATCACTGGACATGGTCTGTAGAAGCGACTAGCTAGCTTCTAGTGGGCTCATTTGAAGGTTGTCTGTTGTCTAAAGTGGTGCAATTTAAGAAACACCAGATCACCAACTTCGAAGGAAACATCCAAACGTTTTTGATTCACAATTAGCTTCATGCGATTAATGGAAGTTTCCAGATTACTTTTGAGTTGACGCAGCAGCTCATCTTTAGCCTCTAGACTTTGGTCTACTTCATGCACTGAAGAAATCCCATTATGGTAAATGGGAACTTGAGGAGGTAAACGTCCATGTAGTGCCTGAAAAGGGGTCATTCCCGTGGACGCATGATACGTTGTATTGTGCCAGAGCTTAGCCCATGGAAGGTAGTTGCTTCACTTGCGCGGCCACTAATGAACCACACTTTGGAGGTATTGCTCAACACAGCGATTGACAACTTATGTTTTTCTGTCCATCTGTGGTTGGTAGGCAGAACTAAGTTGTAGCATGGTTCCCGACATTTGAAAGAACTCCTGCCAGAATTTGTTGATAAGAATGGGGTCTCGATCGCCGATGATGGACTTGGGTAGTCCATGCAATTTAATAACTCATTCTATAGACCTTTTAGCCACGATTTTAGCAGTAAAAGGATGAGTTAAGGATAGGAAATGTGCAGACTTACTCAAACGGTCGGCAACTACTAAGATCGTGTCCTTGCCGTGGGATGTCGGTAGTCTTTCAATGAAGTCTAAGGTGATGTTGTCCCACACTTGAAATGGAATGGGTAGCGGCTGCAGGAGCCCAGCTGGAGACATTGTTTCAGACTTCACCCTCTTACAAGTTTCACATTTTTTGATATATTCTTGCATCGCCTGGTACATTTTTGGCGAGTAGAATTGTTGGACTAATTTCTAGAATGTCTGCAAGATCCCAGAATGTCCACCTATTTTTGTATTGTGCATTTCATGGAGCAGTTTTGTCCGTAAGGTGGCATGAGAAGGATTGACTACTCTCCCTTTAAAGAAGAGAAACCCATTACGCCATGCATACGACCTTTCTAGTTGAGCATTAGCCAGACGAGTTAGAGATTGGACGTAAGAGTCTCCTTCATAAGCTTTTTTAATCTCATCCCATACGGTCACCGCTGGCATATGTAGTNGAAGTTTGTAAGCGACAACCCCAATCTTTTGTATCACTGGACATGGTCTGTAGAAGCGACTAGCTAGCTTCTAGTGGGCTCATTTGAAGGTTGTCTGTTGTCTAAAGTGGTGCAATTTAAGAAACACCAGATCACCAACTTCGAAGGAAACATCCAAACGTTTTTGATTCACAATTAGCTTCATGCGATTAATGGAAGTTTCCAGATTACTTTTGAGTTGACGCAGCAGCTCATCTTTAGCCTCTAGACTTTGGTCTACTTCATGCACTGAAGAAATCCCATTATGGTAAATGGGAACTTGAGGAGGTAAACGTCCATGTAGTGCCTGAAAAGGGGTCATTCCCGTGGACGCATGATACGTTGTATTGTGCCAGAGCTTAGCCCATGGAAGGTAGTTGCTTCACTTGCGCGGCCACTAATGAACCACACTTTGGAGGTATTGCTCAACACAGCGAT